TCCCAAGTCTGAACCAATCGTTGAAACTACTGTGGATGAAACCAAGACCATTACTACAGTCACGACCACAACAGTAACTACCGAATCAACTACAGAAACTTCAACTCCTGCGGAAGAGAAGACACCTGAGGAACCAAAGAAACCTGCATATGCCGGCCTGCCTGTTGATGATTCCTCCAGCTCTTGGATGGATGTCTTGGATGAGCCGATGAACTTCTCTGACGATGAGGAAACTGTACAAGAAACTCCTCTGGCTCCATTTAAGGATGTAACACAGGCTCCTGAGGAAACCGAAGTTGTCACAATTACAACTGTCGTCGAGGAAAATCCAATTCCTGAGGAAGAGGTCACTGTTGTTGAAGAAGTTATCCAGTCTGAGCCAATTGTTGAAACTTCTGTGGATGAAACCAAGACCATTACTACAGTCACGACCACAACAGTAACTACCGAATCAACTACAGAAACTTCTACTCCTGCGGAAGAGAAGAAACCTGAGGAACCAAAGAAACCTGCATATGCCGGTCTGCCCGTTGACGATTCCTCCAGCTCTTGGATGGATGTCTTGGATGAGCCGATGAACTTCTCTGATGATGAGGAAACTGTACAAGAAACTCCTCTGGCTCCATTTAAGGATGTAACACAGGCTCCTGAGGAAACCGAAGTTGTCACAATTACAACTGTCGTCGAGGAAAAACCAATTCCTGAGGAAGAGGTCACTGTTGTTGAAGAAGTTATCCAGTCTGAGCCAATTCTTGAAACTTCTGTGGATGAAACCAAGACCATTACTACAGTCACGACCACAACAGTAACTACTGAATCAACTACCGAAACTTCAACTCCTGCGGAAGAGAAGAAACATGAGGAACCAAAGAAACCTGCATATGCCGGCCTGCCCGTTGATGATTCCTCCAGCTCTTGGATGGATGTCTTGGATGAGCCGATGAACTTCTCTGATGATGAAGAAGTCGTGGAAGGAACCTCTTCGGCTCCATTCGAGGTTGTAGCAGTGGATTCTGAAAAGGCAACACCCTTTTCACCGTTTGAAGAAGTTTCTGACATCGCATTACCTCCAAGTGATGCTGATCCGTTCATTTGTGAAACATCTTACTGGTCTGCCACACTTAAGCCTGGACAAGTATCTACAACTACAACCACAATTGAAACATCAACTGATGTGCAGGAAACCAATCCAATGACAGTTACCATTCCTAGTGATGAAATTGTTGAGGAAATTGCTGTAAAATCACCAACAGACCAACCTACTACCTGGTCGGCAATAGTCCAAACTGAAACGAAAATATTCCCAGCAACCGAACAAAAAGAGGAGGATAAGACTTCGCCTGATTGGTCCACCGTTGTAGTAAGCAAAACTACCGACTTCCAGGAGCCAAAGCCTCTTCAAGATGCCGTGGACACGCAGGATGTGGACAAGACTACAACCACTTACGTGACCACAACTGTAACATCACATAAGGATACTACCATTGCTGAGGATGAGCCCAAAGCAACATCCTATGTATCTACAGTGGTAACTAGCCACACAAATGACCTCGCATTGAACACAGAACCAGTTACAGAATCCATTATTGAGACCAAAATCATTGAATTAGAACAACCTGAAAATCTCGCCGACAATCTCTTCTGCGAAGGCTTTAATCTGCGTCCTCAATACGACTTGTTGTATGGACAATATCAACAATTGCAGGTGGTAAGCATTCCGGAGGAAACGGCTCCAATTGAAATTAAGCAGGAAGTTGACACCCTAGATGATTATGTGATAATTGAACCCGAAGCTATACCCCAACTTAATTCCGAAATTCATGCTCTCAATCTATATCTCGATCAGGGTAGTCTTCTACCCAAAACGCGTATAGATGTTGATGGCATTAGCCAGTTCCTTAAGCTCAAAGAGCCTGTTGATGAGGTCATTGTAAAAACAGAACCTGTAATTCAGGAAATTAAGGTTGTAGAAACTTCTGATGTAGAGCCCATTGTAGAACCTTCAATTGAACCCCTTACTGTTGAAACACCTATCCCTGAACAATCACAACTCCCAATCGAGCCCAGTAATCTGCTCTTGCATCTTAGCCAGGACGATTTCGTTAACCTAATCAATCACTACAGGCACACGGCAAACGAAGCTTTTGCTTTGCTGCCAGGGACAACCACTGACAGGACGAATGCTCAGGAAACTCAAGACGATAAGCAAAAGACTGACAGCATTACAGAAACTGTAGTGACAACCACGACGACCACGATTACTGATCGCGTTGTAGAAAAGACTGAACCAGAAGCATCGTCATTACCAATCATTCCTACCGCCGAACCGCTGGCAGCACCAACACCTAGCAACCTCGATCAGCTGCGACTGAATCTGTATTTGGATGACTGGCAACCAACCGGTGTCGATGCAGATTTGGCCGACAATTCAATCGACAGACTGAAACGTGATGATACTGCCAGTGGGGAATCGGAACTTGACAAAGACAAGAAACCGCAGCAACCCGATGTGACTGGAAAACCCGACAAGGACGACCATGACAGTGACGATGACAACGACGACGATGACGATGACGATGAGGGGGACAAGCCGACTGTGCCTGAAATTCGTAAGCCCAACGACGACGATGATAAACCGAACGATAGAGATCCTGGTAGCGGTAGTAGTGGTAATGTGACACCCACTCCCGAGCACGATGCACAGCAGCATGGTCAGAACCGTAGCTGCTCATCGGAATATAGGTCCGCGGATCTTCCGGGTGGTGTGGGACACTGGCGGGATCAGAGTACTTATCTGGCTTTAGAAGCCGAACAGCCTCAGGTGAAATTAGGAGAAGAACAATCTGTACTAACCGAAACTAAAACCACAAGCCCCGCCCCTGAAACTAGCCCCAATACCAGTCCCCTTAACGTTGCAAACGCACTAATCCAATTGGCAAGCGCCACAACTCACACGCTGACCGCCAAGGCGAACGCAGCAGCAGCGGCGACCCAAGCAGCAGCGCTGGTTGCAACCAGCGCCCTTTTGCCAGTTGCCACAGCCGTAGTCGATAAGCTAACGACGACGCCAGCGGAGGAGCAACCAGTAGCGGCACAAGCTGCAACTCCGGAGATCATGCAACCAGCGGGGCAGCAGCAGCACCAGTTGCTGATGTCGCCAAGTCTGATGTGGCACCAGAGGTTGCAGCAGCAACGCACACCGATACGACAACAACAACATCAACAACGAGCAGCAGGCAGGAGGAGGAGGATGTGGTCGCCACCCCCACTGACAATGGGGAGGCAGTGTTGAGGCGAACCACAACAACAACCACTACCGTAACGACAACGACCACAATTGAAACGCCTTCGACAACTAGCACCACAACGACAACAACCACAAGCAGCAACGATCTGCAACAGCAACGCCAGAAGGTGAACATCACATTGAGCCTTCGTTTATTCATAATTTTAATTTTTGCAGCTTTTCTGTGTGGTTTCGGTATTTGTTCATGGCTTTTATACGGCAATCGCTCGTCATGCTGCAATTGCTACTGTGCCCAGGTTCCGGCCAATAACACATGTTGCTGCTGTGGTATAAATCCGCAGTAAAATTTTTGGCCTGGACCTGGTACCTACACAGTGGCAATAAATTGAGTCGATTGCCGAAATACTAACGTAATTTAATTTTCAAAAAACCATGTTTGATTTTTTATGTTTTTACTTAGTTCCTATTCCTATTTTTATTATTTTTTGTACTGTATGTGTTGTTCTGCTAAATGCATCCAAAAAAAAAAAGCCTTTTGTTTTGAGTTTTGTAATCCCAAATATATAGAAGCACGTAACTTAGTCGTAGACCATTATGTAGATTGATTTACGTTAAGTTCCTTCTACTAATTGATATTAACCTTTGTAAAAGCCCAGTAATCATCAGAGACAAACTACTTACTAATGGTAGTGAGATATAAATAATAATAATAAAATCTATATTAACCAACTTGCACGTTTTTAATACTGAGCTGATTTTTATACCCAGTTGTAGTTTTTTTCGCAGATTTTCCACACAAACACACAGATCACTGACCCACACACGATCACGCACCGAGCACACGCACTTTTCCTGCCCCGCACACACACACAGTGCCCCACAATTACAAAAGTTCCCAAAAGCAGAATATATAATATACCAATGTGTCCCTTATGTGTATATAGCACGTACTTACTATATCTATATACGAGTTCATTGTCTTGCCTACCGCCCAGCCTCCTATCGCGAATATTTGCGTGCAGAGCATGTTCCCTGCCACGGCTATAAATACAGCCCGGATCCGATGCGATCCATGCGATGCTGCAGGCTTTGCTCGAAAATAGTCTCCCGTTTTAATTTACAATTTTAGTCTGCAATGTGCAATGAAGGCGTTGAGTGTTGGGTGCGAAAAAGAAGCATTTCAAGAATCTAAATGTTTTGTTAGTGTCACAGTGTGTGTGTATAGATATCGGACCTAGATCTAAAAAAATACAGTATTGATCATTAAAAGAGTACTCTTATATAGATTTATTTTAATATACATAATAGAGCCAAAGTAAGTTACAAGCATTGCATTTTATATTCCAACTTTATCCTCAAAACAGGCAGAAAAGGCAAAGCATTTATTTTTTCTTGGTACTTTTGTCTATGCGCCTATCTCATACATATACTATGCAGCCATTTACAACTAAGACTATTAATTTATGCCAACTGCATGTTACGTTACTTTACCTTTAAAGAAACTAAGAGCTAGTTATTTTTAAAAGCATTCCCGAAACAGACTTCATGCCTTTGTATGGCTGTGCATCCATTTATAAATATATTTATAAATAATTTACTTAATCGCATGTAAATATGTTGTTAGCCGGCAACAAATATTTACATCAATTGCGTTAATCAAGCCTTCTTTATTTAAACGGAATTATGCAAATGTTTATTAATATTAACACACTTTCTTCACCATCCCCCAACAAACACATTTGCAAATCTATAGGAACTAATTGCGCAAGAACTCGACGAACTGCTACAATCGCTCTCAAGCGTCGAGGATGCCATCGCGAACATGAACCAGAGCAGCCTGGAGGGTATGCTGCAGGGACTAAAGGTAAACAAAATTAATTAATCTAAGGCCCACATAATAACAGCATATTCTGAATGCATGTACACTGGCAACCAAACTTTTAACCAACGTAGCTAGAATTATTTATAATGAACATACTTACACCTTTGTACATATAACGTTTTTTGTAAACGATTAATGGATGCTGGCGTGTGTCAGAGATTTTTAATAACTCAATCGCATCACTCCATACAGAATCGTACATTTTTTTTGTTTAAATAAATAGGTAATTTCTCTATTCAGAATACCGTTCAGTTTTGTTAGTGTTGTCCAGTAGTTGGCGACTCCTTTGCTGTCAAAACATTCAACTTTGTAGGCCCAAAATGCCCAGACAAATTTTATCATTGTACAACATAACATCGTTTCGAACACATGTCTAAATAAGTTTTTATTTTATACGACCGATGACCAGCTAATCCAAAGCAATCTCGAAGTACACGAAAGGGACGCCAGCCAGTTGAAGGCCCAGGCCAAGACACTGCCCACGGATCCAGCTACCGAACGTTTGCTCAACGACACTGTGGATCGCATTGACTTGCTCCTGCGACGCACTCAGCAGGGCATCACCATGATAGCGGTAAGTATTTTGAGAAGATATTTCTCATATTCCGATATTAATATTAATTCCTATCCTGCAGAATGCTATGCATGGGCAGAAGAAGCGGCAGCAGGAGATCGATGAGTACCAGCAGCATCTGCTCGAACTCGAGCGCTGGATTATCGAGGTTCCGCAGAGCTAGCTTCCTTCGAGCCCACCTCGGACAGCAGCACCGATGAGCAGGTGCTCAAGTCGCAGGTGGAAAGGAGCCAGCAATTGCTGCGCACTCTCAAGGAACGTCAACAGTCCATGGATGAATTGGTGGATCAGACCCGCCAGTTGCAGTCGCATCCTGATGTTGCTCCCTTGGCCGACACGCTGATGGAGCAGTTGCAGAGCATTATAACGATTCTGCGGGAACAGATCACGGTGGCCACCAAGCGCATCTTTACTATCGAAAAGCGCATTGTGGACCTGCGAAAGGCCAAGATCGATGAGGCACAACGCCAACGAGTTCTCGCCGATGCGCTCATCAAGCCACCAACGGAAATTCCAACAGGTCCCGAGGCGGCGCCTGAATCCATCGAGTCAAACGAGGAGAACACCATTGACTCGAGCTCTATGCCCGAAGAGGAGATCAAACCACCGACTGGTGTGTATGTTGAGACCCAGACTTCGCTGAGCCTGCAACAGGCACCAGCTCCCGTCGTGACCACCACGACCGTTGAGGCACAAACCAGCTTCAAGGAGCCGCTGCCTGTGGAGACCGCGGAGGTGGCTTTGCAAACACAGAAGGAGCGTTCGCCGACTGAGAACATTATGGTGACCCAGACGGTGCAGCATGGCAAGGAGACCATCCAGATCGACACTACTCGAAATGAGAATGTGCCCGAAGAACCGGAGGATGTGCAGATCGAGGCTCGGTATCACCAACGCCCGCAGGGCGATGTGGACCGCGCTACGGAGCTGATCCTGAAGAACGTGCCGCAGGCATTCGAAACCACATTTGTGGAGCCGGATGAGACAACCACAGAAGTGGTCGTGGGACCCGATGGCACCAAGCACATTGTGCTCAAGAAGGTCGTGACTCGAACTCGCCAGCAGATTGTGCAGCAGCAGCAAATCAGCTCCATCGAGACAATTAGCGACTCGGATGGCAACATCGAGGTGCACTCCACTGGACAAATCAATCTGGAGAATGTGCATACCACGGACACAAAGGCCGATCCCCAAGAAGGCAGTATCCAGACCGTTGTTACGCAGCAAATGCGCGGAGCCCTTGTGGATTCCTCTCAACCCGAAGGCGTGATTCTGCAGGAGTTCGAAACGGAACCCACCATTGAGACGTTCGAAGAGGTTATTGTGCCGGGATCCCAGCTCAGCGATGTCCAAACCCAGGGCAGCATTCGAGCTGTGGTTCATCAGGTGACTCGGAAAGTGATCCGTAAAACGCGAAAGATCATTAAGCGCGTCGTGATCATCGATGGCAAGGAGCACATCACTGAGGAGGTGGTCGAGGAGCCTGAGGAGGTCGAGATCACTGAAGAGGAGACGGCACCGCACATCAATGTGAACATTGTGCGCACTGTAAACGGCAAAGTGGTGACTGAGGAGGAGTTCCAGCGCTTGTTGCAAGAACAGGAGCAAGATCCCGGCGCCCTGGTCATCGAAGAAGTTGCAACGGATCTGTGCGAGCCAACAGCAGCAGAACCGCAGCAACAGGTATTTGATATTGAGTCTAACCAAGTCACCACCACCACAAGAACAACAACAACAACAGCAACCACACAAGAACAAGAACAGCCAGAACAACAGACACCACCAACAACAGAAACGACTAAAGAAGCACCTGTAGAGTTGCCAGCACCTCAAGTAGAAGATGTTGAACAACCCGTAGAAGTTGCCACTACCAGTCCCGTTCATGTTCCAGCAGCGGATGTAGCTGAATCCAAAGACTCACCACCAACTCCAGCAGCCATTGTAGATGATGAGCCAAAGCAAGTGGTTGAAGATATCAATGAAATTTGGCCACAGGAACATCATCTAAAACCCACCAACATTGAGTTCTCTCAGCACATTGAAGAAATTGCAGCCACAACAACAGCAGCACCAGAAGCCTCCATGCCAGTGGAGGAGATCTGGCCGACAAGCCCAGAGACAGGCAACTCTTTGACTCTGGAGCAGTATGAATTCGAGCCACAATCGCCGCGTGAACAGAGCACAAAATCTGATGATGATTGGTGCCGCAAGAGACTAAGCCTGCCGAACGACAACCAGAAGCTGAGCCAATTACCACTGGCAGTATTACCATAACAAAACTAAAACTACCATCACAAGCTCCACTGAACTGCCTGAGGAAACCATTGTTCCAGCCGAGCCCGTGTCTAAACCCAAGACTGACACCCAGAGCTTCCTGGAAGCTGAACAATCCCTGGCTGCAGCTTTGAAGGAACAATCTTCAACTCCGGTTGTTGAGACCGTGGAGCATCTGCCAGAGGCAATTTCACCTCTTGAGGAGGAGAAGAAAGCTTCTGTAACTGAAGAGATTTCAACGAACACACTGGTGGAAACCGTCCCGGAAGCGCTCCCAGTTAAACCATTCGAACCTGAAGTTACTGAAGCTATTGCCAAGTCTGAGCCAGAACCGGAAGACACCTTCAAGCCTGTTCCTGCACAAATCGATCTTCGTGCGGCCACACAACTCTTTATATCTGGCGAGGCCGCAGCCGCAGCAGCTCCACAAAAATCCTTCCAGATCACAGCCCCATCCATGGAGGACAATGGTGATGGTGTGCTGAAGGTTGTGTTGGCAAGGAAGATGACTCTTCAGCCGCTCCAGCTACTGGCAAGGTTAGCATGACCATCATCGAGACCGCAGCAGCTACTCCCGTCGTCGCTGCCGACGCCAAACGGCGTCGAAAGAAAAAGAAGAGAAGAGATACAAAGAACGATGACGACCAAGAGCAAGAAGCTGTAAAGGAGCCAGAAGTTGAGTCTGATGTTCCCCGTTCTCCTAAGGATTCTCCACGTGACCAAGTTCGTCATGAGTCCATTGTGGAGATCAGTGCCGACAGCGATTTATCAAGCATTGAGATCGATTCGAAGGTCAAGGTGGTGGAAGACGCTGTCGTTTCATCGCCCTCAGAGTCTCCAAGAGCACCAATGGTTGAGTTGGTTATACCCACAGAGGTTGTGGAGCTGAATCTGGTTGAGGATGAAGAACAGCAGACCACACCGCGAGTTCCCTCGCCCACCGGCAAGCCTGACGTCGAACAGGAAATCAAATCCGTGCAGACCTCGCCAGTGCATCAACCGACACTAGATGAGATCGGCTTGCAGACTAGTCTGGAGGTGCAGCCCGATAACCAGGAGAACGAATCGCAAACCCTGATTGTTGAGATTGCAGAGACTGAGGCACAGACCACACCCCGAGGCGATGAGAAACCCGAGACTGTTGAGCTCTCCACCACTGAGATTCAAACGGATGTGAGTGGCCAGCCGGCCGAGACAGTAGAGATTTCCAGTCAAACCACAGTGACCACGACCATCGAAAAAGAGTTGCAGACCACGCCAAAGGATTCACCTCGTGCACCGGAACCAGGCAGCAGTGATGTGGTGGAGTCTCTAGTACTTGATTTGGTAAAGGATATGACCACCGATTTGCCAGTGCCCACCAACGAACAGTCGACCGGCACAGAGACAACCACAACCACTGAGATTCATGTTCAGACCACAACGCCAGAGCCAACGGAACACATTGAGAGTGTCAAGCCAGAGACTGTCCATGAAGAGACCTCAACTGTGGAATTGGTACAGTTCGCCGATGGGGAGATGCAGACCACGCCTCGTGGCGATCACGAGCAGCCCACTTCTCTGGATGACAACTCGTTAACTGCCACTTCGATTTCCGTTTCGGAACCATACGAGCTGGAGGTGAAGACCACTGTGGCTATTCCCGCTGATTCTGATACCTCTGTGGCTGAGCCAACGGTCTACGAGTACACCCAGACCATGCAGCTGCCCAAGCAGGACAAGAAGTCCAAGAAGGACAAGAAGAAAAAGCAGAATGTTCCTGAAGTGGAGCAGCAGCAGGTGCCAGAGGAGCCGCAGATCAGTGTAACTGTGGAAATTGCACCGGAATTGTTGTCCGAGTCGGGCATCGTGGTATCCACCAACCAGGAAATTGAGGAGGTTCCACATGTCACACCTATTGTGGGGAGACCCTCATTGAACCTGAAGACGGATCCAAACCAACAAGAGTGCAGCTGCAAATAACAAAGACAACTGTCTACGATGAGTATCCAGATTTGCCGGTTCACATTACCGAGCAGAATAAGGTACTTATTGCCTCGCAGCAGACTCAAGGCAAGCGGTCTGGAGCAGGACCAACTACCTCGGCAGTGACCATTGAAGAGGTGGCGTCTCCCACGGAAGAACTTGTTGTGCCCATTACCCCGGGACCGGACAATTTCGGTGAAGGACCCACTAGCGTGTGGTTCAGTGCCACCACCAGTGTGGACAAGACACCCGTGGAGCTCTCCCAGGCTCTGATCATGAGCGAGAGCCGGCAACATTATCCGGGACAACAGAAGCAGCAACAGCCACAGCCACAGCAACAGCAACAGCAACCTATTCTGATTTCAGCGAAGGAAGTCATCGAGGATCGTATTAGCAAACTGAAACAGGCGTCCCCGCAGCAGGCTACACCGCTGAGCAATGTCCTTCACCTGGCCACCCTTTCGGAACAGATTAAGGACTTGCCCACGGAGCAACGACTGTTGGAGGTTAGCGAAGGACTACAGGATCTCGATGCTGCCATTAAAACGGGCGATAAGACCGTTATCCAAACCACTGTGATAACCGTCATCGAGAAGGTATCCACGTGGCTAGAAACCATCGAGTATCGTGTGTATCTCATTCGCCAGAACTCCAACGAAGGACCTTCTGAAGAGAAATTGGACAATTATAACAAACTCAATGAGGAGCTGAGCACCATCAAGCAGAACGTCGGCCAGTTGGAGCGACAGTTGTCCAACGCTGAACCACAGTTGCTGCAGTGCGTCGACACCTTGAAGGAGCATGTGGATGCCGTGGAGCAAGTAACTCAGCAGAACCAAGCCCAGGATAGCAATGACCTGGACAAGTGGCACAGCTTTGAGCTATTGCTGCACAACTTTTCTTCGGTGCTGGCCAATCTGCAGCAGAATTATGATCATCTCGTCAACCAGGAGTATCCCCTATCCGCCAAGCTTACCCAACTTGATGAGCTTGAGGGCCAACATGAGGCAGCCCAACAGCAGCTGGCACAACTCTGCCAGAACGCCCGTGCCTTCCAACGCGATTTCCCAGGCAAGAAGATGCCACAGGATGTGCACAATGCTTTTGAGACAAGCAAGAATATCGGTAACAATATTCAGGCAGAGCGAGAGCGTGTCCTCCAATTGCAATCGCTGGCGGAGGAGTACGAGCAAACCCTCAAGGAGTTCACCAATATCACGGTTCTGGCCGACAAACTGGTTGAGAGTCCAATAGTTTCCAGTTCCCTGGAGCAGCTGAATAACGAAGTGCAGAAGCAGCGGAAGTTCTTCGTGAACCTCAGCCACTGCCGAGCCATGTTGGAGTCCCTTGAGGAGAACATCGATAGTGAGACCCGCGAGAAGCATTCCGAGTTGCACAAGGAGCTCTACAACAGGGCCACTATACTGCTGGACAAGGCCTCGGAGCGATCTTCGAAATTGGTGCAGGCTGCCTCCCGCTGGACCGTCCTGGAGAAGGGCATGCGGGATGAGCTGCAGTGGCTTCAGGTGGCCCAACAGCGAGTACCCGATCTGTCGGCCGTGACATCGGCTGACTACGATCAGTACACCACACTCTACCAGTCCCTGAGCAACGACATCTCACACCATTATGTTAAGATGACACAGCTTTCCGGAATAGCCAACAAATTGCAACAACTTGTCCAGGCACCCAATCTCGTGGAGGAGACCAATGAAGCATTAATCGTGCTTCTCAAGCTACGCGAGGAGGTGGCCCTGTATCTGCATCGCCTGCTGGTCTTCAAAGAAATCTGGGTGCAATACGAACAGCAAACTGATAAACTGGAGGCCTTTGTGCGCGAGGCGGAGCAGGAGCTGCGACAGATCCAGATACCTGCCCAACCCACCCAACAGCCCATCGAGCATATGCGTCAATTCTGGGAGATCAAGGCCCGCTTTGAGCTGCACAATAATGTGCGAACCGATGCCGGCTTAAGCTTTGAGAAATCCCTGCAGGTCATCCCATTGGCCGACGAGATGCTCCAACGCCAGTTCCATGCCCAACTGGAGGATCGCTGGCAGGCCGTGGCCCAGGCCATCGAACTCATACAGCACAACATTGTCGAATGCCTGTCATCGGAAGATGTGCCCGCGGGCGAGAAGCTCAAGATGGTGGAGCGGGAACTGCAGGAGATCTACCTGACCATGACCAGCATGAAGGGTGTGATCAAGAACGAGGAGGAACTCTGCCTCTACATCGAGCGTGTCCAAGTGCTGCGCACACGTGTTGGCTTCATAGGCAACGAGCTGGGCAGGATTGGACTGCAAGAGCCGGCCATCGAACCAGAGAAGGTTGGCGAACTCTTTGCCCTTTCTCACAAGATTAGCACCCAGATTGCCGAGGAGCTGGAGGGTGCCTCCGTGCTCCGTGACCAACTGCAGGCCATCCAAGAGGGTATCAGCAATCAGCGCAAACACCAAGCAAAGATCTCAGTTATCCTGGATGAATGTGAAGCTGCCGAGCGCCAAGGAGCCGATGTTCTCGAGAAGGCCGTTGCCGATTGCCAGGGTGTAGGTGAGGAGCTGGTGACCAGCTGGCAGGAGATTATGCGTATCCGCCAGATGCTGCACACCCTGCCCATGCGCCTCAAGATGTCCGTGTCGCCGGTTAAGCTGGAGCGGGATATCTCGCAGCTCCAAGATGACCATGCCTTCCTCGAGAGCAAATGCACGAACATTATGGGCATTCTCCGCAATCGTTTGGCCATCTGGCTGCGTTACGAACGCCAACTGGAAATGGTACACGGTTCCGTCCAGGAAACCGACTTCATGATGGAACTCATACGTGTTCACGGCCAAGTCGACTACGAACGCCTGCGTAAAGCCACAGAACGTTTGGAGGTGAGTGTGTGTTTTTCCTTAAGAGATATTTATGACTTCATTTACGCGGTTTTCCATCTCGCTCGCTACCTGCTGAGCGGAATTTTCGCGAGCTGCCTATCGGTGGCAATTTCCATCGGCAGAAAAATATGACTTTCCGTCAGTCTTTCGGTGACATTTGAACCTTCAAGATACATTTGAAACCTTCGGAAAAGCAGAGATAACTTTGAATTTAAAAGGCGTTTTAGATAGAAATTTTATTACAAAATCAATTTAATAGTTCGGTAATAATAATAATCTTTATTATAAAAGTTTAGAAACTATTTTCTAGCTTATATATAAATATAAATACCCATTATTATTATTGTTTTCAAACTAAAACAAAGCTATATAACAATTTAACTCCGCTGCAACCCGCGAAAGCAAAATGAAAAGCTATTGAAGCCACAAACTTTTTCCCAAGCTTTTTCGTAAGCTCTCGAACGTACGTGGTGCTCTTTACGTAGCAAGTTTTATGCGGTCGCCAGTTGCCGTTAGCTTCGAACCGAGCGCGTATCTCCCGCCGCGTCCGGAATACCATAAAATACATATATATTATAATCCATTAATCCGTCGCTCTTCGCCTCACATCGCAGGGACTGGCCGGCGATCTACAAAACCGCGAGCAACTGATCGATGAACTCAAGGGTGCCGCCAAGCCGCTGATCGAGAGCTGCGATGTCCAGATTGTCGAGCAGATAGAATCGGCCGTCCAGGAGGCAGTGGTCGCCTGGAACGATACCAGTGACAATCTACAGCAGCTCCGCACCCGATACCAGAGAGCCGTCGAGCTGTGGGACAAGTACCGCAACGCTTCAGCGGCTGTCAAGAGTTCGATTGACCAGCAAATGGATACGGTCAAGTCCCTGGAGCAGCCATTGGATGCCCTGCAGCACGCCAAGGTGAGTACTAGAGTGTGCCTATCCCACATGCCGTGACACATCCCGGCAACAACGTGGCGTATGAGTGATGGGTATCGCGTGGGTGTCGTCTATAATGCCAGGAAAATCCCAAAGGAAACCAGGAACTGGGGAAACTTTTGATTATTTAGTAAGCTAAAAATAGTGACTTCCTGTCTGGTTACCTGATATATACCGGAAGCCTATTAGAAAAGGACACAGCTGGCCAGGTGGGCGGACTATTTGATTTTGGCAGCAAAACTAGCACGGCAATGTGACGCTTTAATTGCCCTCCAGGGCACCAGGAAAGCCGGAAAAGCCAGTAATTACATTGATTTTCCCAGTAGTAGTAGTAGTACACTTCCTATCAATTTTTTTGGCGCGTCAATGTAATCGGTTTGTAATGAGCTGTATGTGAGGTAACTTCTCGGTCTTGGTCCGTCCGATATGTGTGTCTGTGTTTGTGTCATAAATTATGCTTTGGTAAATAAACCCAAACGTCCGATTTCTTTTTTTGGTATTTACTTAAAAAATTAACGCATACTTCGTTGTCGTTCTGTGTTTATTGATCATTAGGGTCATTATATTATAGGCCCGACGACTACGACGGTGCTGTAATTATATTTTCGGACAGGCAGGCAGGCAGTCCGGACAACTGTCATTTCACATGGAGAGTAGAGTTTATCAACCCGGGCATTCATTCGTGTTATATTATTTGTACACATCGCAGCTTTATCAGGGGGAACAGGTCCGCAAAATGCCTTGAAGATAAATGTTGAAAACAAAACGAACTAAACAAATCTAAATTCTTAATACTATGTTGGATATTTCAATGCCATTTTCAAAGCGTTGTTTGCTTATGTAGCGGCAAAGATAAAGCATCGGCAAATACTTGCCGGATGATATCATAGGGCACACACCATGATCCGGCCCTTAATGCCCATTCCGTTCTGCTCTAAATTGAGGAATTTATTCGTAGAGTAAAGTAGAGTGACCTGTTTTTTTTTGTGTTTTCAATTTGAAAACGAAAGTGTGCGCTCGGCAAAGCAGCCCTAATTACAGCAGCAGCAGCAGGGAAATGCACTCGACAAAGTGCGGCACGGCAATTGATAAGGGTCTCTCACACAAACAAAACAAGCCCCCGGCCGGCTTGAGCTAAATACTTTCCCGACATCGAAAAGTTAAATATAAACAAGTGACATTTTGCCAGCCATCGAAAATAATTGTTTGGGATTCTAGGGGCCAGCTTTGGGTTGCTATTTAGTTGGTGTTAGAAAAGAAATAAGAAGATATGGGAAGGTGAGGGTATTATTATTCCTAACAGCAGTAATGAACATTTTAAAAGAATAAATGTATAGTTTAGGGTGTACAAAAATAGCTGAATATGGAATAAATAAATATTAAACAACAACTTCATAACTTTTGAAAGCAGAATGCTTAGGCTGCCCGCTTTTGGGCAAAGTTCAGTTTCTGCTTAAGGAAAATACATGTCACTGTTAATTATGTGGCCATAATGGCCTCAACCCTGAGCTTCATTAGCTAATTCTCGCTCTCTCTCCATCTCTATATCTTTGTTCACACAGGTATGCCAAGATAGTCTAAGCACTCAGAATGACCGAATCTTGGAGCTACGCGACATTGTGGCCAAGATTGCCGCCGATGTGGGCCTGGATGCCTCTGCCCTAATGCAGGGCGAACTGGATGCTCTGGGTCAGCGATTGGCCGAATGCAAAGATGCCATTACCACCTTGGCCAATGTGGCTGAAACGCAGGACAAGGAGCGTAAGGAGCTCGACAAGGAGGTGTCACTGGCCAAGTCCTACTTCAACAATGTGCAGCAGGTAAGTCGAAACAGGAAACAAATTAATAAAAATTATGGATGCACTGCAACACACACCCCGCACAGCTAGGGAAACCTAGCCAGCACCGGCCCTATCTATATCGATTATAGCGACGAATAGATGGATATTTGCATATGTTAGTTCGGCATTTGGCGTGTGGAAATTCCCACACAAACGAATCGCGACTTGCCGGCAATTTGTATTGTTGCTTTCGCTCTGTTAATCCAATACGAAGGACATGCTATTTTAAGTGGGTTAAAAGTTGAAAAAGTTTTTTTTGTGTTCTGGATACAGTACGTCTCCGCGGACTCCACCTCAGTCATTATTGATTGATAAGAGGCGTCAATACATGTGCTCAGTCCAAAAGGTTGGGCGGTTGACATAAAATCGTAATTGACACTTGTTTTCGCAAAGGGAAGTTGAATATTTAATGGCCATATGGATATATAATGAGCTGGTCCTAGTTTCCACAGGACACTATTGTTATCTGTTTGGCGATGGGAGAACAATTTAAAGGACAATTTTTAAAGTGACGGTTGGAAATAGTAAATATAAAAGAAGATGGAAGCAACTATAATTAAATATTGTACTGTATGTGTAGGGGAAATCTTTAAGAAAATGAGAAACAACAATTTGATCAATTGTTAGAAGCATTAGAGCAATTGTATGTTGAAAATTCTTTTCTGCTTTGCCTCACTGTAGTCTCATTTGCATGGCACATGCCAACCAGTTTTGGTTCCACCACTTCCTCCCTTCCCACGCCCACCCACTGGTGGTACTCCCTCCCCCAAAGACTACAGACAATTGAAGTTGGTCAGAGCCGCCAGTCAGAGCGCGTGTCGTTGTTGGCATGAGGTCATTGCCAGTTGGCGGAAAGAGTTGCAATGTGGCAGTTGTCGAAGCCATGCAGGGTCAGACAGACAGACGGACGACGACGACGATGGCGAGCGGTAACTGGAGACATCCGAGCAACCGTATTAGGGTCAGGCCAATTAGCAATGCACAAAGCATATATTAATATGACCAGAGGGAAATAATTATATTAATCTGATTTTTTTCCCTTCGTAGGACATCGCTCGCGAGCCACCGCAGAATCCCAAAGAAAGCGAGGAGCAGTTGGCCGCCCTGCGTGCCCATCTCCAAACTCTGGCCAGAACGGAAGAGCAACTGCGACAGCTCAAGGAGCGTCAGCAGAACAATGAAGTGGCCGCTTCAGTCTCAGGAGCTGATGATGATGGCATTCTGGAGGTTCTAGCCATGTGGCAAAAGATATTCCAGGATACCTTCCAGGAGTATCATCGCCTGTCCACGCGACTTGCTCGCAGCCAGAACAGTTCGGAGGCTTTAAGATTGTGGCGACAGTATCTCCAGCATGTGCAGTCCTTCCTCTCGTGTGCCATTCCAGAGGATTATAGCAGCTTGAGGGAACAACAGCAGCTTTGTGCCATCCACCAGAATCTGCTCATCTCGCAGCAGAGTGTTCTGGCCGAGACGCCACTAGAATCGGAGCTCTCGGAGCAGTACAAGGCTCTGACGAACCTGCACAATGAGACCCTCTCGAGGATCATGCAGCGTAATGGTGAGCTAGAGCGGCGTGTGAGCGGCTGGAATGCCTATCGCCAGCAGCTGGATGCCCTTTTGGACTGGCTGCGACAGCGAGAGGCAGAGCGAAATGGCCTCCAACTCCGTTACATACACCTGAAGCGAGTGCCTCACCTGAAGCACCGCCTAGATGCCATGATCCAGCAGCTGGACCAGGGAGAACAACAGAGCAAGGCTCTGCAGGAACAACAACAGGAGTTGGCCAAGCACTGCGATGACGCCCTGGCCACCGCCATGCGTATGGAGCAGGCCAGCATTGGCCAGCGTATTAATAACCTCCGTGCGGCCCTCAAGACCTGGCAGGGATTCCTGCTCCGCGTGACCCAACTGTCGGAGACTTACGAGCAGCGAGTTCAGCAATTGCAGAAGGAGTTCGGAGCAGCGCAGAGACTTCTAGAGTCGAACAACGAAGAATCCTCCCTGCCCACTCAGCCGGCGGCCATTGAGCAGCTGCTGGGAGCTTTGCGTTCCCAGAGAGTCCAACTAGGCGCCCAGGTACCAACTCTCGAGAGTCTGACTGTGACCCAGGAGGAGCTCAAGGAGTGCATCAGTCCCCACGACATGAAGACCATTCGTCAAAGGAACTGGCTGCTCTGGCAGCAGCACGCAGACCTGGACTACCAGCTGGCCAACCTGATCAACTCGATCGAGGAACGTCTATCCCTGCTTTCCAACTATCAGATCCGTTACGAACGCATCTCCCAGTGGCTGCAGCGTCTCGAGCACCGGGTGGAGCGCGATGCGGATGTTACAGCCATGTCCAATCCGGAACAGGCAGCCAAGCAGCTGGAACAACAAATAAATTCCGAGCTGCAGCTGCGTGACAAGGAACGCGAGTGGCTACTGTCCACAAGCCGTGAATTGCTAACGCTGTACTCCGAGCCCGAGGTCAGATCCCAGGTGCAACAGCAGAGCGACGCCCTGATTGATCGCTGGCAGCGCCTGAAATATCTGTGCAAACAGAAGGCCACCAAGATCGGGGAGCTGAAGATGACCCTGCTCCGTTTGGAGGAGCGCATTGCCCTGATTCGTGCCTGGCTCTTCGAGGTGGAATCGCAACTGGACAAGCCGCTGAACTTTGAGAGCTACACCCCGAATGTCATCGAGGCCAAGCTGAAGGAGCACGAACAAATACAGCGCTCCATTGAGCATCACAGCAGCAATGTGGGCGAAGTACTCAATCTCGTCGAAATGCTGCTGAACGATGCGGACAGCTGGCGCACCCAGGTGAACACCTCAGGTCTGGCGGCCTCAGCTCAAAATCTGGAGCAGCGTTGGAAAAACGTGTGCAGCCAGTCGGCGGAGCGTAAGGCGCGCATCTTGACCACCTGGAATCTCCTCCAGCAACTGATCAAGCTCACGGCCGAGCACAAAAACTGGCTGGGGAAGCAAGAGAGTCAGCTGGCTGGCTACGAACGAGACCGCAAGTCACACAGCAAGCAGAAGCTAGAAGAACGCCAGAAGGACCTTAGAGCCAAACTGGAGGAGCTAGAAAGCCAGTCGGTTAATCTCCGCCAGCTGGAGCAGATCTATGCCAAACTGACCTCTAGTGCTGGCGTGGAGCCGGAGAACATTCAAAAGCTCACCCTGCCCACCAAGGTAATGGTGAGCATGTGGCGTCAATTGACGCCACGCTGCCATGCCCTGCTGGATGCCATCGACAAGGACGCCAAGCTGATGCGAGAGTTCAACAATGCCCAGCAGGAGGCAACCAATTCGCTAAATGCCATCCAAAAAGCCCTGGAACAATTGCCCAGCGTGGAGGACCAGCAAAACTCCAAGGCGGACCCTAAGGTTGTAATCCAACGCTTGGAGAGTCTAGAGAAGAAGCTGCAGGATGCCCAGCAGCATGTTCAGCAGGCGGATAGCTTGGCCCAAGAGGCCAAGGCCAGAACCAAGGAGCAACCTCAACATAAGCAATTGCTGGAACTGATTACAGCCTACACCACCCTCTGGCAAACCGTGCAGACCCGCATTGTGACCCTCAAGACCACATGGCTGGCCAGAGCAGCTCAGGCTGCCCAAGCAGCTGCATCCCTAGTGCCCGTGAATGAGGCAGCCAATGCCGCCGTCCAGGTCAACACTCTGTCGCAAAGGAAACTTCGCCAGGCGCAGCAGATGCAGCGTGAGACCTCCATCACCGCCAAGGATGCCTACATCATGGAACTGCAGACGGCCATCACGGAGTGCCAAAACAATCTGGATGAACTGCAGCGCACGGTGGCGGACAAGACCCGCAAGCCGGGACCACAGAAGATAGCCAAGCTGCTGGGCAATGCCCAGTCATCCACGGAGCTGGTCAAGCATCTCAGCCATTTGCTGCTTACCGAGTGCCAGGCAGACCACCAGTCCGCCCAGGTGGACACCGTGGCAGAGCTCACGTTGCGCTTTGACACACTGCAGTCGCAGTGGAAGGCGCGACAGCAGCACGATCAAAATGCAAGGTAAGTTTAGTTTTTTAATTACAATTTTAATGGGATATTAGATCGGAAGGGCTTGCTAAGTTCTTGCTAAGACTTAATTACTGATCATAGATAGTTACTGCTCATAGATACTTACTGTTCAGAGTTAATTACTGGTCTTAGTTAATTACTGGTCATAGCTTAATTACTGATCATAGTTAATTACTGGCCATAGTCTAATTACTGATCATAGTTCTTTAAATCGTCCGATTGTTCCAATGTCAGCTTTATATATATATAATATTGTCCACCGATTCGGCATGCCCCGATTTATGAACTTGTAAAATTAGATAGAAGAATAACTCCATAATTTCATTCAAATAGCTTAAATTTGATCCAAAACAAATCTCGCACATCTGTGCATATGATTCCCAACTTGTTCTCACATCCCCGGAACGAAGTGACTGCTGCCGGCCACTTCTCAGAATAATGTTGTTACAAAAGTAGCAAGTCATTGTTTATTAGTGTTCAAAGTTAGTACGTGATCATCCATACTTACTGATCATAGTTAACTAGGGGTCATAAATACTTACTGATCAGAGTTACTTACTGGTCATAGATACTTACTGTTCATAGTTAATCTTCATATCATATGATTCCCAACTGGTTCAAACATCCCCAGAGCGAAGTGACCTCTGCTGGCCACGTCTCAGAATTGTGTTGTGTTACAAAAGTTGCAAGTCATTGTTTATTAGTGTGAAAAGTTAGCAACTGGTCATAAATACTTGCTGTTCAGAGTTACTTGCTGCTCTTAGATACTTACTGATCAGAGTTACTTAATGTTCATTTATACTTACAGATCATAGTTAATTACTGGTCCTAAATAGTTACTGTTCAGAGTTAATTTATGGTCATAGATACTTACTGTTCAGAGTTAATTACTGGTCATAGATACTTAGTGTTCATAGTTAAACTTCATATCATATGATTCCCAACTTGTTCTAACATCCCCGGAACGAAGTGACTGCTGCCGGCCACTTCTCGGAAATGTGTTGTGTTACAAAAGTTGCAAGTCATTGTTTATTAGTGTGATAAGTTAGCAACTGGTCATAAATACTTGCTGTTCAGAGTTACTTGCTGCTCATAGATACTTACTGATCAGAGTTACTAAACGTTCATTTATACTTACTGATCATAGTTAATTAATGGTCATAGATACTTACTGTTCAGAGTTAATTACTGGTCATAGATACTTATTGCTCATAATTAATCTTCACATTATATGATTCCCAACTTGTTCTAACATCCCCGGAACGAAGTTACTTCTGCCGGCCACGTCTCAGAAATGTGTTGCGTTACAAAAGTTGCAAGTCATTGTTTATTAGTGTTCAAAGTTAGTAACTGATTATACATACTTAGTGGTCATACTTACATGGGGAGTCAAAGTGGCATACCTTAAAATCCCTATTTATTTTGTGTCTCAAATACTCCTAAATCAACTAGTTAGACACGAACGGCATCCTGAGTAGTTTATCATATTACAACAGATGACTTGTGTTCGTGGACATTGATATTTACTTTAATATAAAGTAACTTAAATATTATATTCCAACATTGGCTTAGCAAGCTCTAGATTTTATTCGGTTTACCGAATGACATTTTTCTTTGGTGTTTTGGGTTTGTTATTGACTAACATAATATATGTTTTATTGCCTTCCATCTCGCTGTTGCCTACTCCTCCCTTTCTCTCTGTCTCGCTCTCTGTCACACACACACGCATTAAACACAACCCACAAAACTTACCTACGCTTAACTCGAACCTGTGCATTCACGATGACACTCGCCAGGTGCCACCTACCTGCATCCTACAAGTACAACTGCATACAGTAAGTGTTTTCTACCTGAATCGCATTAACCGCCAGCCTCCGAAATGGTGTGTAAGTAGTTCCCACCTCCTGCTGTGTTCTGTGTTCTGTGTGGCTTTCCACTAGACAAAAGCTGGCAGCGGATCACCAGATCACAAATGGCTGCCAGTCTCCAGGGTGGAGCACAGCAAACGGTGGTGTGGAACTGCCTACGCCCTGCTAAGCTGCTTCCTAAGGCCTCAAACTCCAAGGACTTTGGCAAGGCTGGCTTAGGCTAACATGTATCATATACTCCATTACCATCTAGGTTGAATCTCTGTTGATCCCAACACTGAATCAGCTAATGCTTTATGGAGTCCCTAGAACTTTAATTTTTAAATTATAAATTACTAATTATAAATCTTTATTACTTTTTCCCCTTCCGTAGCGAGGTCGGCCGTCTAACGTGTCCGCTCTGCACGCAGCGTAACTGGCAGCAGATCGACAACGATCTGTGGCGCCTGGAGCAGTGGCTGCAGTTTGCCGAGAGCACCCAAAAGGCCCAGACGGCTCCGCCCTCAAATATCGAGCTTCTTGAGGATGTCACCCAAGATCATCGCGAGTTCCTCTTGGATCTGGAGAGCCACAAGTCCATTATCTCGTCCCTGAATGTTGTAGGCGACCATTTGGCCACTCACACTTCGGATACCGAAAAGGCGCAACAACTCCGATCTCGCCTGGAAGCCGACAATGAACGCTGGAATAATGTGTGCATCAATGCCACCAAATGGCAGGGTCTCCTGCAGACTGCCCTCATGGGCAACAGTGAGTTCCATCAGACCATCGATGAACTAGTGGACTGGCTGCAGCGCACCGAGCAGAACATCAAGGCCTCCGAGCCCGTCGATCTCACCGAGGAGCGTTCCGTGCTCGAGGCCAAGTTCAAGAAGTTCAAGGATCTGCGCGCCGAACTGGAGCGGTGTGAGCCGCGAGTTGTGAGCCTGCAGGATGCGGCTGATCAGTTGCTCCGTGAAGTCGAGGGCTCCCAGCAGCAGTCCCAGCACACCTACGAGAGGTAAGTCATCGGTGGGCCAGTTCCGAGGGCGGAACGAAACGGAATCGTGGGTGCCGCTTGAGCTTGTAGTAGGGATTCGGATAATTAAAAGGGAGTAATTAGCAGGGCGGAAAAGCAATATAACTTTATTTTGTATTTATTTCTTGATCTGAAATTAGTTTTGATAATACTTCCTTATCCCCCAGTAGTTTGTAATCTAGTTTCTAGTAACATTTGTTTACCTAAGAGCTTTCCTCATTATCAAATTATCAAAACTTCGGCCTTTATTGCTTGCCTTTTTAACATTTCAAATATGTATATATTTCTCACATTCCACAAACATTTTCGGAAACTATAAAGCTTTCAAAAATTATATTTCCTTCCCCACAAAATTATACTAAAACTGTTCTTCAGAACAGCCACAAACTTTTGGAATCTCCCCAACCAAAGACTACCTTCTATAACCCCTTAGGGGGCCCCTAAACTATCCACACTTATTTAGTAGAACTTTGTTTTTTTAGCCTTATTATCTCTTCTTAGTTATACAAACTCAATCGTACCGTTCTCGAACATTTGTTTTTGCCTCTACACACACACACACTTTTGTGTTGCTGTTTTTGTTGCGTACTTATTATATATTATTTTGTGTTGTATTTTTTGGTACTCAAAATTCTTTCGTCCGCCCATTCTAACCCTTCATCCAAACTGACCTCCCCAAGAGCCGTTGCAAATGTTTTAAATGTTCCAGAACCCTTTCCAGATTGACAGATCTCCGCCTGCGTCTGCAGTCCCTGCGCCGCCTAGCCGGCATCTACATCGTCAAGCTGGGCGCTGTCCTGGGCTACGAGGGCGACTCTCTTGGTGTCCCGCTGCACATGTTGTCGAGCGAGGTAAGTGTCCCAAGGCCTTGGAGGTTATTGCCTAGAGTGATTCCTTCAGAGTGTCCTGAAAAAAACTATATTTGATTTGATTTGTTGATTTGTGAGCGCACCCGAAGTAAGTGAAACCAATTGGACAAGAAGTTGTGATGAGAAATTGTTAACGAAGAAAAACCCCTTATGATTTCGTATTATTTATAATTTATTTTCGTTTTTCTTTTCCTTCTTTCTTTGTGGCAATTCTAGCTTTTGGATAATACTACATTATCAACCTCTTCCATGCAGGCCGCCGCACCCAACACAGAAAATGCAAAGTAAATATCTAAATAGAAATTGATTTAAGTTTACACAAGCAAAGTAAAAGTAGTTTGTTTAACTTTTTTGTTAAAGCAAATTGTGTGCACTTTATAGTATGTAAAGAAGAGCACATAGTTAGCCCTCTGTAGTTGCATGTTTTCTCCCATTTTATTTCAATCTTTGATTAACTTTTCCCTTTTCACTTCCATAGCAACACCGATGGCGTCGATGCTGTCGATGGCGATGTCATCAATACCACGGTGCTGGCGCGCAGTGCTCGGTTCCTAGGCCGCGTTGCCCGTGCCTCCCTGCCCATTCAGGCGCTCATGCTGCTGCTTTTAGGTGTGGCCACTCTGGTGCCCCAAGGTGAGGACTACACCTGTATGTTCTCGAACACCTTTGCCCGCAGCCTGGAGCCCATGTTGTCGTATCCCCACGGACCGCCGCCCACCTAGGCTAGGCTGCTCCTGCTCCTGGACTAGTGCAAAGAAAGAAACGAACAAACCCCTGACCTACCCTGACATTAACAACCCAATTAATTAAGATTGAAGAATTGACACAGATAACCCAAAAAGAGATGCCATTTGTAACTAAATTCCTGTTGAAGCGATCGCACATGTGTGCATAGGAAGAAAAATCATAAATCGAATTGATCGCGTTGTACATTTTGTGTGTAGTTAATCACATTTTGTAATTGTATGTAATTTTATAATGATTTCATAGCTAGAGGCATTAATAAAGCAAAATTAATTTGTAAATAACCCGAACAGACTCGACGAGAACAAACAAACACTATATGAAACACTATATGAATATGAAGAACCATACATATATGCAACTACTAAACGACAACTAACGAAACCCTTTTGTAAAACGATATATACATTATACATATATATTTGCACAGCAAACAATTTATATATTCATATATATACCCAACATATATGATCCCAAACTATATAAAGAGAAACCCAAACATTTTGTATATAAAAAAGAGAGATAACTAAGCTTAAACGAAATCAAAATACGCACACGAAAATTTTACTCATCGACGCACGTTGATCATTTCTAGAGGAAGCTAGATGGCTGCCGGGGATTTGTGCTCAGAACTCTGCAAATTTCGTGGAACATCTTTGCAGAAATCCGAGCACAACATCCTGACTGCCATCTATTGGCTAGAACACAAAACCTCAAGACAAATCATGACCCACATAGACCAATCGTCCGGAGAACTATTCATCCATCAATGTCCCTTGTCTATTGCTTGGCCTTTCTCCCAAATTCAAGTCCTTGTAGTCGATGAAAGACATTGATGCCCGTTTAGGTTCCTTCGGCACTTTAAGCCACCTTGCCTAAGGATAATTCTGCCCTTGGCCAAGCTCTCTCCCAAGGCCAGGGGTAAGAGAAGAATATTAATCCCAGTAGATCCGCCACAGGTCACTGGATGCACTCGTTCTGATCCTTAAATTCCAACACAGGCCAAAGGGTGGCCTAGACATTTCAAGCATTCCTGATACTCATTTCCAAATTACCATAGACATGGATCAGGCCAATCCTTTCTAGAAATGACCAAAGTGCGTGCCGCGAGCATTGAACAAAACGAAGCAAGTGTCCTATGCCGGTGCTAAACCAACCAACAAATTTTCTATATAAAGAGAAAAACTGTAAAATGCGTATACAAAAATGAAATTGAAACATTGAGAAGTGAAAAAGAAAAAAAAATGTATGAAAAATCCTTTAAAAAAAATCGTAAAAATGCAATTTGCATATATAGACAAGTGGCGTTAGTCCATCCAGTAAAAAGTAACCTATTTTGTTGTTAATATTTTTGATAAACCCTAATTATATATATATCTTTGCCTTATACTTATCCAACTTGTTTATGACTATTTTTATTATTTAACGCCTGAGCAATTATTGAGAAAAATACATACATTTATTTATTAGAATATATGCGATTTATTATGTATTTAATTAAGTTTGATTTAACTGTTAAATTTGTGTAATTTGCTGCTTCTATCTGGTTATTATAAAGCAACGAGCTCCGTTATCCAGTTAATATAATTTATGTAGCATTTTAAGATTTCCTTTCTTGTGAACAACTGTACCTTTATATGCATTATGATTATTAAAGAAAAATTTAAAAATAATTATGTTTAAATTTGATCGTTTTATTATACCTTTTTTAGGGTTTTATACATTTAGACGGAAGGTAATAGCTTTGTGAAGGAGTCATTTCCGACCCCATAAATCATATATATTCGTGATCAGTATGAGTGGGCGAATCTATAAAGTTTGTTTCTTTTCTTGTTTAAACTCTTGAAAATAAACATGGAGCGTTTAGGGTACCTCTTTCGCTTTTAATCAGAGTTAAAATTTTATAAGTATTATAAAATTATTATTAAATGACTTTGTATAGCTTCAGCTATTCCTACTGGCGTTCCTTAAAATCCAACCAAATACCCCCTTTAGGGTAGCCATAAAGAAGGTGTTATCTATCTGATCATCCGAGCGAGTATTGGGATTAACCTTGATCTCAAAGTGGCGTACAATCTCCACGAGTGCCGTCTTGATCTGGGTAAGAGCAAATCGCATGCCTGCAAAGAGAGATTATTAATATTTCTATAATTGATTTCCCCAAGGTTCTCCGCCAACCCGGACAGATGCGTGGTCCATTGCCAAAGGCCAGGTAGACACCCCTTTCGCGGTACTCCTTCACCCCACCATTTGCCTCCAGAAAACGCTCGGGCTTGAAGGAATCGGGATTCTCATAGTACTGAGGATCATGGTGCACAGCTTTTACGGGTATGGTGACCACATCACCAGGATTCGCCCTCAAGGTAACTCCGTTTTATTTACAAAGTCGTAGGTTTCGGTAACCTTTTTACGAGCAGCAACTTGTGGCGAAAACAAACGCAATGTTTCTAGAAAATATAATAGTTAGTACTGTGATTAAGGAAAACTTAACCCGGATTCTCTCACCATGGAGGCAGGCTTCCAGATAGGGCAGATCCGTAAGCTGATCAAAATTAAAATCTGCGCTTCCAATTTCCTCCAGGACCTTCTGCTGGTCCTCTGGATGGCGTGCTAGCATCAGCAGAGTGTGAGCCAATACCATGGCAGTCGTCTCAAAGCCGTCCGTGAGCAATGTCATCGTGTGTGTGGTTAACTCCTCAGTGTCCAGACCCTTCTTCTCCTGCAACTGAAGCATGTAGTTGAGGAAGTCATCCCGCTGCTGCATAGGTGAGGTCTGCCTCAATGTGATGCTCCGCCTGATTATATTGGAGAAGAACTCTACGGCCTCCTTGTTAAAAAAGGGCACGCTGTAAAACTTCCGTATTGTAGGCCAGAGATTAGCCAACATGTTGAAAAAGATGAAGCTGAAGGAGGAATTAAACACCCGCTGGGTCATTCTGACCATGGGAGTCCGTGTGTCCCCGAAGCTCTGAGCGGAGATACCCAGGACACAGTCGGAAACCACTTCGGTGGTGTAGCAGAGGGAGAGGTCCATGGCATCCAATCCCTGTGAGGTGGCCATCTCTTGCTGTCGCTTAATAAATTCTACGAACTTTTTGCACACATTTTGGGAGATGGGATACACGGCCTTGATCTATGGAGTGGGAGGATTATAATTTAAAAGGGAAGCTCCTTTATAAGGCTCTTCAACTTACTCTATTCAGAGATAATCCTGGCGTGATCTCTGATCTTTTCTCCTTCCATTCATCCCCAGTCAGCAGGAAGGGATTATTTCCCAGAATCTTGTCTGTCTTTTTGTCCAACTAATTTGGAAAACACGAGATTCAGTTGTGGGTTCACCCGTTAGACCCATTTTTTACTCACAAATTTCTCCCACTCATTATTATGAAAGCTCCGGAAATCGGTGGCATAAATCTTGTATATATAGTCCGGACACGTAACCAGAAGCTGTGGTACTCTGGTGTTGAACACTCCCACTATTTTGTCCGTATCCTTGAACTGCCTGCATAAGGACCTCTTTTTCATATATTTATTCATAGATAGATGTGTGATTACTCACTCGTAGATATCATCGTAGTCGTAGCAATGTTTCGCCTGCGAGTAAAGATGCTGGGAAAACTACCAACCAATGGCCAAGTTGGCGCTGTCCTGATTCCTTTCTTTCTCCAGTGGTCAAAGTTCCAGATGAGGAACACATAGATCAGTGTCAAAAGAGCAGCAATCGCGAATAGTGTCCAGCTAGCCGGGTCCATCATCGCACAATAATTCCCAATCGCAGCCGAATCTTAACTGAACCGAAAAACTGATGAATTCAAGGGGAAATTTTTGATTTTTATAGATGGCAGTGGGTTGTGATAACATTTCACAATTACAAATACATTTTTTTTATTGAGTTGTTTTTCTTCGCGAATTTAGGAACTACGAACTAATACTTACTGACAAAAACATCTTTTCTTGGAATGGGCTCACCGCTACTCCGGATTAAGACAGAATTTGTGGAGCTTAAGGCTAATCTAAAGACACAATCTTTTAAATTTCGATTTCAATTCAAAATGGAATCTGTGGCCTTGGACTAAGAGTCCAGGTAAGGTCGTCGCCTTTTAATAGTTCTGTAAGAATTCAATCCGAAAAAGCAGCGAACGTTTCCAAAATGGCCTTTATATCATTATAATTAAATCATTATAATCCTTTTCTTCTGCAAGCCCAAGATGATGGGAGACTCCAGGCTCTCAAATAAAGATACTTGTTTGTTTTAAAAAAACTACCCGAAGATTCCAAGGATCGTCATGGCTGGATTTGTATCTTGTGGTGGAACAGTGAGATACAGCTTCTCAAAATATCATCCGATGGCAGGCGTACCTCGAAAGATTCAATACATCGTCACCGGCAAGTCGCCCTGGGGGGTCTCGCCCATTATCTGGATTTCAAACAAGAATATAAATGTATAACGGAAGCTTTCATACAGTAATTATTATTTTGGCGCTCAAAATCGAAACTCTGCCCGCATCGAACTCAATCTCGCAACTCGAACAACGTCGAACCATGTTCGATTTGAACACATTTGATCCATTTCTACTTTTATCTTACAACTCATGTCAAGACTCACAACACTAATCTTATAGATACGGATAAGTTTATTTCTGTTCGAGTCTTTGGAAGAGAATAATGTAGGTATGTATTTTATGCGTAGAAGCCCGTGTAGAAGAAAGTAAAAAAAAAGATTGAGAATTTGTTTCACTATTTTGAGAAATTAAAAAGCAAATGTTGGTTTTTGTAAAAATTGTATTGCAATTACTGATGGCTTCATTTTTGAATTTTAAGTAAAATTTCCTAAATTGCAGAGGTAGAGTTAAACGTTGGTGCAGCGATTAATTTCACTCAAATCCCTTGTTTTCCACTCATCATAAAAAACTCATAACTAAGCCAAAAATACATTAATTTCAATTTGAAAAGCGTTCTTATATTTATTTTCAGCAGGTTAATAAAACTGCCTATGATTTATAGGCTCTGAAATGACTCCTTCACTTTCTTTTAAGCTTCTGACTGAAGTTGCAATCTCATTTCTTAATTGATATTAACTATATTGTTATATGCAAATTTTACTACAAATCGTAGTGTAAAAAAGTCATAACTAAGCCAAAAATGCATTAATTTCAATTCGGAAAGCGTTCTTATATTAATTTTGTACCCTGTTGATCAAGAATATATATGATTTATTGGATCGGAAATGACTTCTTTAAAGTGTTACAGTGCTTTTGGGTCTGTTTGAAGGCAAAAGATTTCCAAAATTTTACAATGACTTTTAAAACCAATTTAAATAAATAAAATGATTTCAAACATTTTTATTGCTTCCAAAAATAAGGGGTTAACATGGTCTCAGTTAACGTAGTTCAACTGGCTGCGAGCTTTCGATTTAGTTTGCTTTTGCCTGCCCTTGCAATCGGTTGTGCAATGTGTCCCATCTGCTGTGTGCTGTTGTCGATCGCCGTGCTCCTGGGACTGGTCTATATATTCCTAACCTGGAACTTTGACTACTGGATGAAGCGGGGCATCAAGACTGCTCCCTCATGGCCGTTTGTGGGCAGCTTTCCCAGCATTTTCACCCGCAAGCGGAACGTCGCCTACGACATCGATGATATCTATCAGTGAGTGCAATGAGTTAATATTTCAATTCGCTCGCTAATTGCGTTTTACGGACAGGCAGTACAAAGCGACGGACAATATGGTCGGTGTGTTCACCACGCGACTGCCACAGCTGCTGGTTATGTGCCCGGAATACATACACAAGATTTATGCCACTGACTTCCGGAGCTTCCATGACAATGAACGGGGAAAATTCGTGAGTAAAGTCTCAAGTTTCAAGAGGCATAAATTCAAATTCTCTTCTTCCAAACAAGTGGACAAGAAGGTGGATAAGATTCTCGGCAACAATCCATTTGTCTTAACGGGGGATGAATGGAAGGAGAGAAGGGCTGAGATCACGCCTGGTTTGTCTCCGAATAGGGTAAGTTGAAGAAGCCTTCCCTGTTCCGTAACAACAATTAAATAATTTATTTCCATAGGTCAAGGTCATGTATCCAGTGTCGCAAAATGTGTGCAAAAAGTTCGTTGATTACATCAGGCGGCAGCAAAAGATGGCCACCTCACAGGGGTTGGATGCAATGGAACTCTCTCTTTGCTACACCACCGAAGTGGTTTCCGACTGCGTCCTGGGAATATCATCCCAGAGTTTCACAGACACTCCCACGCCCCTGGTGGGAATGATCCAGCGAGTGTTCAACTCCTCCTTTGAATTCATCCTCTACAGCGTGGTTGCCAATCTATGGCCACCGATACGCAAGTTCTATAGCGTGGCTCTGTTTACCAAGGAGGCGGAAGATTTCTTCTTTGATATTATGCGGCGCAGCATCACCTTGAGACGGGAAAATCCACAGCAGCAGCGCGATGACTTCCTCAACTATATGCTGCAGTTGCAGGAGAAGAAGGGACTGGACACAGTGGAGCTGACCTCGCACACGATGACTTTCCTCACGGATGGCTTTGAGACGACGGCCCTGGTGCTGTCTCATACTCTGCTGATGCTGGGACGTCATCCAGAGGAGCAGGAAAGGTGCTGAAGGAAATTGGTAAGGAGGATCTCAGCTTCGAGCAGCTGTCTGAGCTGCCCCACCTAGAGGCCTGTATTCATGGTAAGTAAATCTAATTAAAATTACACCCAATCTTGATTCAAACATTAATATTTCCTAGAAACACTGCGTTTGTTTTCGCCGCAAACTGCTTCCCGCAAACTGGTAACACAACCCTATGAGTTTGTGAACAAGAACGGAGTCACCTTGCGGATGAAACCTGGTGATGTGGTCATAACACCTGTGAAAGCTCTGCATCATGATCCTCAGTATTACGAGAATCCAGATTCCTACAAACCGGAGCGCTTCCTGGAGGCAAATGGTGGGGTGAAGAAGTACCGTGACATGGGCGTCTTCCTGCCCTTTGGCGATGGACCTCGTATCTGTCCAGGTGGGTTTTCCAAGATACCTAAACTTAAAGATTTATGGAACTCTCCTTTCTTTCAGGCATACGTTTTGCTCTCACTCAGCTCAAGGCAGCTCTTGTGGAGATCGTAAGGAATTTCGAGATTAAGGTTAATCCCAAGACACGCTCGGATAATCAGCTGGATGACACTTTCTTTATGGCTACCCTGAAGGGGGGCATTTGGTTGGATTTTAAGGAAAGGCAGTAGGAATGAACTGAAGCTATTCAGTCAAGGCTTTAATTATTAAATATTTACTAAATATTAATTATCAAAACTTAACTCTTATTATTTTATATGTATGTTCAGAGATCCGAAGTTTAACATATATTCGCATTCTTTGAATCGATATTTATCAATATTTTTTATAACTATTTGTTCTACAAACCAGAGTTAAAAAACTCATAATCTCATTCTTTTTGTCAAAATTTATTTATATTTTTATGCCAATTTATTCTACAAACCAAAGTTTTAAAAACTCATAACTAAAGATAAGAAAAATTAATACAAAATATAATTAACTATACTTTATACACAAGTCTAATAAGCCTCATCCATATGCTTGCTATCAGTGCATCTGTCTTGAACCAGATTAACATGGGAGCACTTTTATTATTATTTTTATCACCTTTAATTTGTACAGAAATAGGCGAGTGTGTTTGGCCCTTGATCTTGATAACATTACCGGGTCTTATCAACAAAATGGAACTCGGGCAGTGTGCTCTTCATGGGAATCAGTATATGGCAGCTTGATCAATTTATTTACTGGGTGAATATGCCCAGCTCCCACAGTCGACCACCACTTGACTGACATTAAGTTCAATTGAAATCACTGAGGTTGCTCAATTGAGCTTCAGTTCGTTTCTATCCGCGGTGGCGAACGGTTGTGCCATGTGTCCAATTACCACGGTTCTGTTCCTGCTGGTGGCCCTCTTGGCCTTGATCTACGTTTTCTCACATGGAACTTTAACTACTGGAAGAAGCGAGGCATTCCAACGGGCAAGACATGGCCTTTAGTGGGTAGTTTTCCCAGCATTTTTACCCAGAAGCGGAACATGGTCTATGACATTGATGATATTTACGAGTAAGTTAATTTTATTTAATTAAATTAAATTTCTTGAGTGACAAACTCAAATGCGTTGCAGGCAGTACAAGAACACGGATAGCCTTGTGGGAGTGTTTAACACACGAATGCCACAGCTTTTGGTCATGAGTCCAGAGTTCGCTCATCAGATATTTGTCACCGATTTCCGGAGTTTCCACGACAACGAGATGGCAAAGTTTGTAAGTAATAAGTTAATATTACCAGTCTCTGAAGAAGATCTAAAACTATTATATATATTATAATAGACCAACAAGAAGGTGGACAAATCCTGGCCAACAATCCTTTTATTGACAGGCGAGGCCTGGAAGGAAAGACGTGCCGAGGTTACACCAGGACTTTCGGCCAACAGGGTGAGTTAAAGATGAAAAGATAAAGTTTAAATTAATTTAAGGCGTATATATAGCGCATAATCTATTTACTAAATTAGTAGGCAACAAATAAATTGAATTTGATTGCATGGAATAATAAGTAATTTTTGTTGAGCAGCAACAAGCACTCTTATCTTATCATTACCACTTGAAGTGATTTTTTTTATGTCTTATCAGTACACTATCTGTCTACTATAACTAATGATTATTTTCTCTAACCTGCCCCAAAAAAGGTTAAAGCTGTCTATCCCGTGTCCCAGAGTGTGTGTAAGAAGCTGGTTGACTTTATCAAGCGTCAACAGCGTATGGCCACCTCCGAGGATTGAATGCCAAGGATGTGTGCCTCTGCTTCACCACCGAAGTCGTGTCCGACTGTGTTCTTGGCATCTCCGCCCAGAGTTTCACCGACAATCCCACACCCCTGGTGGGAATGATCAAGCGAGTCTTTCAGCAGTCCTTTGTATTTATTTTCTACACCGTGGCAGCGAATATATGGCCTCCAATCCGCAAAATCTACTCGGTTGGTCTATTTGCTAAGGATGTCGAGGAGTTTTTCTTTGACATTATGAGGAAGTGCATCCAGATGAGGCGGGAAAATCCAGTGCAACAGCGAGATGACTTCCTCAACTATATGCTGCAGTTGCAGGAGAAAAAGGGTCTTGATACAGTGGAGCTAACCTCGCACACGATGACTTTCCTCACGGATGGCTTTGAGACAACAGCACAGGTTCTGTCCCATGTCCTGCTCCTGTTGGCACGAAATCCCAAGGAGCAGCAGCGGTTGAGGGAGGAAATCGGTACCGGAGAGCTAAGCTTTGAGCAGTTGAGTGAACTGCCCTTCATCGAGGCCTGCATTCATGGTTAGTTATCCACAGATCGATCTAAAGAATCCCAAATAAGGTATCAATGACATCTTTTTCTTTCCAGAAACTTTGCGAATTTTCCCACCTCTTCTAATTGCCCGTAAAGTGGTAACTCAGGAGCACGTATTTGTGAACAAAAATGGCGTCAGCGTGAAGGTGTATCCCGACGATGTAGTCATCGTTCCAGTTAATGCCCTTCACCACGATCCTCAGTATTATAAGGATCCGCAGAGCTTTAAGCCAGAACGCTTCTTGGAGGTTAATGGAGGAGCCAAGAAGTACAGGGATCAGGGTATTTACTTTGGCTTTGGCGATGGACCACGCATTTGTCCAGGTCGGAAATCTTACTTGAACGGGCTCAGAAATCTTGTATAATCCACCTATTTTTGCAGGCATAAGGTTCGCAGTCACCCAAATCAAAGCGGCTCTGGTGGAGATCCTAAGGAACTTTGACATCAAGGTTAATCCCAAGACCCGTAACGATAATGTGTTCGACGATACCTACTTTATGGCTTCTCTAAAGGGGGGCATTTTCCTTGACTTTACAGAGCGCAAATAGATATTGAACTTCCTTAAATTCCCCAAAATAATAACAGCAAATATTTGTTAAAGCTTGAACTATTTTCTTACATAATACACTGAAATAATACTTTAATTTTGAAACAAATTACGAGAGAGACCCCTATGCCTCAGTCTCTACTGAGTGCTAGTTGAACAAGGGGTAGCACTTTGATGGAAGACAGATCCGCCAGAATGGCCTCGATATTGTCCAGAGAGGCCACCTGCATAATGCTTTCCTTACGAAAGCTCAAAATAATGATGGCAAAGAGTGGCAGGATCTCAAGGCTATCAAAGCCTAGTATCTAAAGAAGAAATGGGAATATTAAAAAAAGTTGTTTTCTGTTGGTAAAAACACCTACCAGGTCCCAGAGAACCAAGAGTTGGTCAGGTGGCAGATGTCCTGAGAAGGCACGCATCAGCCACTTGAAGACGACCCGCAGGCTGCAATTATGGGTGAAAATATGTTACAAAGGTGTCTCCTAAAGGATCGGCAACCCACTACTTACGGCTGGATTTGGAGCTCCCGGAAATGTGACCACAGCTGCGGCTCGTATGTCTGCAGAAGCTTCTCGAAGAGAAGGCACAAACTGACAATTCCCTGCGGGTGTGTGTTGATTGTGGTCAGGCGATGGCAGTAACGAATGTAGAATGCCCGGAATGTATAGTATAGATTAACCGGTGAGTCGTACAGATAGCAGAACGGTGCGGCGAACATGCAAATACCGTGGAAGGGCACCACGCCCGAAGGTGGACCCTCGTACGTCTTGCCCTTCACCGGAAATGTCTCGTAATCGACGCAGCTTCCAATATCCGTGTCACGGGAGAAGCATAGCAGCACCTGGTATAATACATCCTCGAACACAAAGTACTGGTCGTCATTGGAGGCCGTCAATTGGATGTCCTTAAAGACCAGTTTGTCCACAATGTGATCCGTGGTCCACACAGCATTACGCAACTTTTGCCAGTAGTCAATGTCCTGTGGTATATAAACTCTAAGGATTACTCCTTCCTTGGTAAAGGAGGGTACTAGGTCTTACGTAGTCGTGTAATTTACTGTCCAGCACGGAGGCCCAGAGAGCTCCCCTATATGGAGCCGGGGTGCAGCCCTTCTTGAGGAACTGCTGGCACATGGGCGCATGCCTGCCCTCCAGAATCCTCTGGCACTGAACCGTGAGATCCGGCACTCCCAGATAGCTATCACTCCGCAGGAGATCGGCATAATGGCCACGCAGCTCGAATAGATTCTTCACGGGCAAGGCGATGTGTGAGAACTCCCACTGGGGGATTTGGCTAAAGCCACAAACCAAACGAAGTAATATAGATCATTGATTCGTAATGCATTTATTCTCACTTACTCTGTATGTTCGGAGGTCTTAGCGGGTCCCTTCAGAGAGAGTAATACCTCTAGAAGATCCTTTGGTGCATAGACAGGTCTGTAGTTGGCCAAATCTAGGGATTATACTTCAGTAAAAAATATTGGGTTAATACCTAAGAGTTACCCACCCATATTGTAGTTACTCAGTTCGTTCCACTTGGCCATGAAGTCCTCACGATCGGCGCTAATTCTGGGCTGCCCATGCAGAGGAACCTTCAGTTCTGTGCACATGGCATTCAGGCTTTTTCGAACCCTACGATCCCAAAGGACTCCAGCTCTCTTCAAGTAGCCAAGTGGATCACTAACGGTGGGTTTCTGTGAAGCAAATGGCTTTTTAACTTTTGTGTCAAAAGTAGGTTTTACTTTAGATGTCATTAAAGATTTTGAATTCCAAATAATTGAAAACTCCATTGTTTAGGCCATTCAAGTTGGAATGCTCCAAGGATGGAAGTCCTTTAAAAGGACACTAAATACTAGTTACTGAAGTTATTTTACATTATATACATAATATTTGAACTAATGAAATGAGTAAGTTATTTTTTGCATGTTAAATCTAATAGGGATTCGGCTATAAACGATAGAACAAGCTAAGCACACTAAAAGAGTTTTGTTTCGTCGAATTTAGGTTTAGAAACCATATTACCCACCGATGTCTGTTTATGGGAAAGCACTTTATCATCCGACTTGGTAAGCCGGCTGCGGACCAGGTTGTAGACAATGTTCCGGATCTCCGTCTCCAAACCGGCGCCCTTGATGGCGTCCTCGAGGGTGTTGCGCATATCGTGTGTGTCCACATTGGGATTGCAGACGAGTCGCTGCAGCTCCTTGTAGATGGGCTCATAGCACTTTGTGTTCTTGATGGCCCCGATTACCTTGGCGGTCATGTGATGGATGCTGGCGTCCTGCAGCTCCTCCATTTTGAGCCGCCTTGTGTAACCTAACCGTCTGCGACTCAACCACTCACTAATCGCCGACAAAGCTCACCGTTCCGATTAGCTGGAAAAGTTGGGAGCTCCTAACAAACGTTTTCATTTGACTTTTATCGATCAAACTCGGTCGCCTGCTTTGATTTGAAGTCGAAGTCGAATCGAGTCTAGGAAATGCATCCATTCTCGGCTGTCGTCGCTTCGTAGCGACGGAATGCAAACACTTGTTTGGTCGGATTCGTTAGTTTCGCGTTAGTTTCACTTGCCGCCCCTCGCAACCGAAAATTCCATTATGTTTCGTTTCAAATGAAAAACTAAAGGCGCGTGAAATTGCTTTCTATACTTTGCTTTTCATATATATATGTACATATATATACTTTCAGGGCACCGCTGACTGTGAGTGGCGGCAACTTTTTCTTGGCATCTGTCATCTGGTCCCAACGAGTTGTTGACATGGCTGTCACGGTGGTGGTGCTGGTTGTGCTGGTGGTGCTGTTCTGGGCCAAACTCACCTGCCTCTCACCTCTTGTACTGACGAAATCTCATATCTATAAATTCTTCTCATTCATTTTGCTTTTGTTTAATATTTTGCAATTGATTATAATCATAGTTTTATATCGAATTTATTCCTTCAGTATCTGTATCTGAACTAGTCTGATTTTTCTCGTCCAAAAAACCATCTAAGAAATCTGGGGGTATATAAGTTCGATTTTTAATTTCATGGCTTAGATTCATATGGTTCCTTCCCATTGCATACGGTGCAAAATAATCAGTCTCTAGAAAGTACAAGCCCCTGGCCCTGTAATCCAAGCAAAAGTAAGTATTGTTGGAGTCAATATCTGGTAGCTTTTACAAACCCCAAACGTACGTAGAAGCCCATTTGTTCCACATCATTACTGGGCTTGCACAATCCATCTAGAAAACTTCGGTAGGTGGGGCAGCGGTAACCAAAGAACCCCTTGGGCGTTGTGATGGATTCCGCATAGTATGCAACAGCTCGATTGTGGTAGCAGTAGTGGGTAGTTACTTAATCGAACAAATAAATAAAAGTTTGAGATTTAAAATATGAAATTACAGACGATAGTTACTCGTGCTTATGTCCCCGCAGTTGGGCTGACTGATGCCCATATTCACGTAAAAATCCACATGACCCACGGCATTTAAAAGGCCAAGCATCAGGACATCCGTGTGGATGACATCCACGAATTTGGCATCGCTGGAATCCAATTTATCGGCATTATCGGTTCCCAGAAAGAGTGGCTTGGCCGGATTGAGGGCTGTGATGCGCTGCAGCGGTATGTTTTCGGGCATAAAGTTTCCGGCAAACCCAGCGATATGGGCACCCAAGCCGAAAGCAATCAAATGCAGATCCTCTTCGAATATCAGGCGATCCTGGACGAGCTGCGTCAGCAAGTGGGCCAGGCATCGGCCCACATACTTGGCATTGTCCACTGCCTGCGAGTAGCAGGGTTCCACGGACAGGTTCCGAAAGTCCGGTGAGATCACATGATAGTTCTGAGAGGTTAGTAGGAGGCGCAGCTTGTTGTTAGGCAATTTGTCGCGGTTACCATGAAATCCGTGGAGTAGCACCTTTAGCGGTTTTCGGGGAAGAAATCCTGCATCGCTTAAGTTATGCATCCACAATTGTCTTCCTTCCAGTATAGTATTTCTATAGAGATATTTGGTGGTAAAAAGTGATCTATCTCCTTTGATGCTCTCTTACGTGTAGAACCAGAAGGTGATGTTTTCATTGGGACAAGTTTCGTCAGTCAGGGTAAAGCAATTCGGTTCCTCCTCATCCTCATACACAGCGTACAGGGTTCGACATGAAATGCCTGACAAGGGTAGGTCAACGAAATACATAGTTTGGAAAAGTTACCAATATTACCTATTAGAATCAGGAGTTTCCACACGTGAAACATGTCTACCGATGCCTTTGAGGTTAAGAGGAGTTCTAACTTTTATTAGAAGCTTCCTTATGTGACGGTAATTTTGTTTGCTTAATAGTATTACGGAATGCAGAACAATCTTGTAATTGAATTAGTTACTGTTACTGCCTTTTTAGGTTGTATAAGTTGTTGTATAAGGTTTATAGGTTGATTTTAAAGAGGTTACTTTTTACTTTATTGAAGTTCTTACAATTTGCTGTATCAATGCGGGTTTCTTTTTGAGCTTGAGATTTTCAACTTTGACAAAATTTAAATGTATTCTATCAACATCAACAGGGGAATCTTATCTCAGCTATATTCCGGTCGAAAAAATTTTTTTCAGAATTCCCATTTTTTGCAAAATTAGGAAAGGGGTTACATCATTAAAATTTGCAAAAATCGGACAAAATTCACATTTAAATGGAGTATGCAGTTTTATTAACATGCGAGCGCTTTCCGAATTGAAATTAATGCATTTTGGCTTAGTTATGACTTTTTACACTCCATTTGTAGTAAAATTTGCATATAAAAATAATAATATCGATTAAAAAATGGATTGCACCTTCAGTCAGAAGCTTAAAAGAAAGTGAGGAGTCATTTCCGACCCTATAAATCATATGTATTCTTGATCAGCATCAACAGCTGAGTGATCTAGCATGTCTGGAAGAAATCAAAATTTTAAAATATTTCCATTTTTGCAAAAAATGATAAGGGTTACATTAAAATTGTCGAAAATGGCAAAAAATTCAATTTCTAAAATTAAAAACTGAGTATGCAGATTTATTAACCCAATAAAAACTAGCTAGGAACCTTCCGAATGAAATCAATGCATTTTGGCTTAGTTATGTTTTTCCAATTGATTTTAGGAAAAATTGCATAAAAATCATAGCTTTTTGCTTAAGTATCGGAGTTTAATTAATTTGATTTTAGAAAAATGCATAAAAAAAAAAAAAAAAAAAAAAAAAAAAAAAAAAAAAAAAAAAAAAAAAAAAAAAAAAAAAAAAAAAAAAAAAAAAAAAAAAAAAAAAAAAAAAAAAAAAAAAAAAAAAAAAAAAAAAAAAAAAAAAAAAAAAAAAAAAAAAAAAAAATCAGTCATTTTCATTTAGAAACATTTTCTTTGAGTATGCAGATTTGTTAACGTGATAAAAACTAGCACGGGACAGCTTTCCGAATTAAAATTAATTTTTTGGCTTTGTTATGAATTTTTTAAAATTTGATTTTTAGCAAAAATTGGCGTAACATAGATAAAATATGGTATTATAACTTAGTCCGAAGCTTATAAAACAGTGAAGGAGTCATTTCCGACCCTATAAATCATATGTATTCTTGATCAGCATCAACAGCTGAGTCGATCTGGGCATGTCTGGAAGACATCAAATTTTTAAAATATTTCCATTTTTGCAAAAAATGATAAGGGGTTACATCATTAAAATTGTCGAAAATTGGCAAAAAATTCAATTTTCTAAAATTAAAAACTGAGTATGCAGATTTATTAACCCAATAAAAATAGCATAGGAACGCTTTCCGAATTGAAATCAATGCATTTTTGGCTTAGTTCGGTTTTTTCCAATTTGATTTTTAGGAAAAATTGGCATAAAAATATACAAAATACCTACTCAAAGAATGGGATTAAATTTCAGTCATTTTCATTTAGAAACATTTTTCTTTGAGTATGCAGATTTGTTAACGTGATAAAAACTAGCACGGGACAGCTTTCCGAATTAAAATTAATTTTTTTGGCTTTGTTATGAATTTTTTAAAATTTGATTTTTAGCAAAAATTGGCGTAACATAGATAAAATATGGTATTATAACTTTACTCCGAAGCTTATAAAACAGTGAAGGAGTCATTTCCGACCCTATAAATCATATGTATTCTTGATCAGCATCAACAGCTGAGTCGATCTGGGCATGTCTGGAAGACATCAAATTTTTAAAATATTTCCATTTTTGCAAAAAATGATAAGGGGTTACATCATTAAAATTGTCGAAAATTGGCAAAAAATTCAATTTTCTAAAATTAAAAACTGAGTATGCAGATTTATTAACCAATAAAAATAGCATAGGAACGCTTTCCGAATGAAATCAATGCATTTTTGGCTTAGTTACGGTTTTTTTCCAATTTGATTTTTAGGAAAAATTGGCATAAAAATATACAAAATACCTACTCAAAGAATGGGATTATAATTTCAGTCATTTTCATTTAGAAACATTTTTCTTTGAGTATGCAGATTTGTTAACGTGATAAAAACTAGCACGGGACAGCTTTCCGAATTAAAATTAACTTTTTTTGGCTTTGTTATGAATTTTTTAAAATTTGATTTTTAGCAAAAATTGGCGTAACATAGATAAAATATGGTATTATAACTTTACTCCGAAGCTTATAAAACAGTGAAGGAGTCATTTCCGACCCTATAAATCATATGTATTCTTGATCAGCATCAACAGCTGAGTCGATCTGGGCATGTCTGGAAGACATCAAATTTTTAAAATATTTCCATTTTTGCAAAAAATGATAAGGGGTTACATCATTAAAATTGTCGAAAATTGGCAAAAAATTCAATTTTCTAAAATTAAAAACTGAGTATGCAGATTTATTAACCAATAAAAATAGCATAGGAACGCTTTCCGAATGAAATCAATGCATTTTTGGCTTAGTTTCGGTTTTTTTCCAATTTGATTTTTAGGAAAAATTGGCATAAAAATATACAAATACCTACCAAAGAATGGGATTAAAATTTCAGTCATTTTCATTTAGAAACATTTTTCTTTGAGTATGCAGATTTGTTAACGTGATAAAAACTAGCACGGGACAGCTTTCCGAATTAAAATTAAATTTTTTGGCTTTGTTATGAATTTTTTAAAATTTGATTTTTAGCAAAAATTGGCGTAACAATAGATAAAATATGGTATTATAACTTACTCCGAAGCTTATAAAACAGTGAAGGAGTCATTTCCGACCCTATAAATCATATGTATTCTTGATCAGCATCAACAGCTGAGTCGATCTGGGCATGTCTGGAAGACATCAAATTTTTAAAATATTTCCATTTTTGCAAAAAATGATAAGGGGTTACATCATTAAAATTGTCGAAAATTGGCAAAAAATTCAATTTTCTAAAATTAAAAACTGAGTATGCAGATTTATTAACCAATAAAAATAGCATAGGAACGCTTTCCGAATGAAATCAATGCATTTTTGGCTTAGTTCGGTTTTTTCCAATTTGATTTTTAGGAAAAATTGGCATAAAAATATACAAAATACCTACTCAAAGAATGGGATTATAATTTCAGTCATTTTCATTTAGAAACATTTTTCTTTGAGTATGCAGATTTGTTAACGTGATAAAAACTAGCACGGGACAGCTTTCCGAATTAAAATTAAAGTTTTCTTGGCTTTGTTATGAATTTTTTAAAATTTGATTTTTAGCAAAAATTGGCGTAACAATAGATAAAATATGGTATTATAACTTTACTCCGAAGCTTATAAAACAGTGAAGGAGTCATTTCCGACCCTATAAATCATATGTATTCTTGATCAGCATCAACAGCTGAGTCGATCTGGGCATGTCTGGAAGACATCCAAATTTTTAAAATATTTCCATTTTTGCAAAAAATGATAAGGGGTTACATCATTAAAATTGTCGAAAATTGGCAAAAAATTCAATTTTCTAAAATTAAAAACTGAGTATGCAGATTTATTAACCAATAAAAATAGCATAGGAACGCTTTCCGAATGAAATCAATGCATTTTTGGCTTAGTTACGGTTTTTTCCAATTTGATTTTTAGGAAAAATTGGCATAAAAATATACAAAATACCTACTCAAAGAATGGGATTATAATTTCAGTCATTTTCATTTAGAAACATTTTTCTTTGAGTATGCAGATTTGTTAACGTGATAAAAACTAGCACGGGACAGCTTTCCGAATTAAAATTAAAGTTTTTTGGCTTTGTTATGAATTTTTTAAAATTTGATTTTTAGCAAAAATTGGCGTAACAATAGATAAAATATGGTATTATAACTTTACTCCGAAGCTTATAAAACAGTGAAGGAGTCATTTCCGACCCTATAAATCATATGTATTCTTGATCAGCATCAACAGCTGAGTCGATCTGGGCATGTCTGGAAGACATCCAAATTTTTAAAAATATTTCCATTTTTGCAAAAAATGATAAGGGGTTACATCATTAAAATTGTCGAAAATTGGCAAAAAATTCAATTTTCTAAAATTAAAAACTGAGTATGCAGATTTATTAACCTAATAAAAATAGCATAGGAACGCTTTCCGAATTGAAATCAATGCATTTTTGGCTTAGTTACGTGTTTTTTCCAATTTGATTTTTAGGAAAAATTGGCATAAAATATACAAAATACCTACTCAAAGAATGGGATTAAAATTTCAGTCATTTTCATTTAGAAACATTTTTCTTTGAGTATGCAGATTTGTTAACGTGATAAAAACTAGCACGGGACAGCTTTCCGAATTAAAATTAAAGTTTTCTTGGCTTTGTTATGAATTTTTTAAAATTTGATTTTTAGCAAAAATTGGCGTAACAATAGATAAAATATGGTATTATAACTTTACTCCGAAGCTTATAAAACAGTGAAGGAGTCATTTCCGACCCTATAAATCATATGTATTCTTGATCAGCATCAACAGCTGAGTCGATCTGGGCATGTCTGGAAGACATCAAATTTTTAAAATATTTCCATTTTTGCAAAAAATGATAAGGGGTTACATCATTAAAATTGTCGAAAATTGGCAAAAAATTCAATTTTCTAAAATTAAAAACTGAGTATGCAGATTTATTAACCTAATAAAAAATAGCATAGGAACGCTTTCCGAATTGAAATCAATGCATTTTTGGCTTAGTTACGTGTTTTTTCCAATTTGATTTTTAGGAAAAATTGGCATAAAATATACAAAATACCTACTAAAGAATGGGATTAAATTTCAGTCATTTTCATTTAGAAACATTTTTCTTTGAGTATGCAGATTTGTTAACGTGATAAAAACTAGCACGGGACAGCTT